ACGAATTTGATGCCGAGGACATCAAGAAGATCGAAAACTATGCAAAGGCCATCAATATGCTATATTGCGCGGTCAACCCCGATGACTACCGAAAGATCTCCTGTTGCACAACCGCCAAGGAGATGTGGGACAAGCTTGAAGTGACGTACGAAGGTACCGATCAAGTTCGCGAAGCCAAGATCGACTTTCTCACCCAAGAGTACGAAATGTTCCGGATGAAAGAAGGTGAGAAAATTGATGACATGTTCGACCGGTTCTCAAAGATCATCAACGATCTTCATGCTCTCAAAAAGACCTACACCAACAAGGATCTTGTGAGGAAAATCCTGCGGAGTCTCACACCCGAATGGAGGTCAAAAGCCGATGCAATCTACGAATCCATCGGAGTCTCCAACGTCACCATCGACGGGCTAAGAGGTAATCTTAAAACCTATGAATCTACTATTCTAACCCCGTCTTTGGATGAACAAAAGAAAAAGGGGATAGCTCTCAAAGCCACCAAGGAACCGGTGGAAGAGGCTTCAAGCGATGACGACAATGAATTCGGGCTCGTCATCAAAAAGTTCCACAAGTTCATGAAGAAGGAATTTGAGCGAAAGGGAAGGAAGCACGACGGTCCTCCCAAATGCTACGGCTATGGCGAGATTGGCCACATCAAGCCAAGGTGTCCAAAGGCCAAACACGGCAAGGACAAGCCTGGCTTCAAGAAGCAAAGGGCCTACATCTCTTGGGGTGGCGATTCCGGCGACGAATCAACCGACCAAGAGGAGGACGAAGCTGCAAATCTCTGCCTCATGGCACAGGAAGATCAAAGCGACGACGTCCAAGAGGTATGTAACATTTCTTCCGACTCTTATACTTTTGAAGAAATGCAAGAAGCACTTCATGAACTCTATGAGGAATTTGTTAGCGCTTCTAAAACAAATAAATCTTTGAAGAAATGACTTTCTTTACTTGAAAACGATTTTGAAAAATTGGAAAAAGAAAATGAAACACTTAAACAAGAAAACAAATTTTTTGGAAAAAGAAGCGCTGACAAACCAGAAAGCTCATCAAGTGAATGTGGGTCTTGCAAATCTTTAAAAGAGCAAGTCGCTAAACTTGAGAGCACGGTCAAGAAATTTAATACTCCTCATAAAGACTTAAATTTACTTCTTGACACTCTGCATTTTTCTAAGGAAGGAATAGGTTTTGATAAAAATAAAGCTAAAGATAATGTTGAGCCACCACCTAAACAATCATCCAAGGTTCAACATAAGAAACCTAAAAATCAAGAAAATAGAAAATCTAGTCAACCTAAGGACACCAGAAAACCTAGACTAAAACCTAGGAATGAAAACGGTCATGGTAGACAACCTAAGAAAAATGATTTTGTGCATAAAAATGAATTTTCTCAAATAAGAAGAAATGATGCTAGAACACCTAGAAGAGGCCAGTTTCAAAATTTCTAAAAACCAATATTTTCACAAAATATGAACAAGATGGTTAAACCTTCTAACTATTATGAACCTAGGCACATGTACAACCCCAATGTAGTCTGTCATTATTGTAATAGGATAGGCCATATTGCTCCCGTTTGTTACACTAGGCATAGGCACCTGTCACAAAATCAAGCACACTACCATCACACACCTAACATCCGAGGACCCAACGTAAATTGGGTACCTAAAACTCATTGATGTGTTTTATAGGTGTGCTTGAAGGCATCGAGTGTACTTTGGTACCTTGATAGCGGATGCTCCAAGCACATGACCGGGGATGCATCCAAGTTTCTCCAAATCAAACCCGCTAAAGGAGGAAACGTAGTTTTTGGAGACAATAGCAAGGGAAAAATTATCGGCGTTGGTTCAGTAGGTAAATCTGAAAACTCCTCTATAGATAATGTCTTGCTTGTTAAAGGTCTTAAACACAATCTCTTGAGCATAAGTCAATTATGTGACAAGGGAAACCGTGTGACCTTCGATTCAAAATCATGCACGGTAGAACGCCTTAGTGATAATAAGGTCATTCTACGTGGTGATAGAATCGATAACATATATATGGTTAACTTAGACAAATCTCCTTCCGGCTTTGCTAAGTGCCTCATGAGTAAAGAGGAAGACACTTGGTTATGGCACCGAAGGGTAGCTCATATGAACATGAACCTTTTGAACAAATTGGTTTCACAAGACTTAGTAATTGGCATTCCAAAACTTAAGTTTGAAAAAGAC